TTTAGGTCTTGGATGCCTTGGACCTTGTCACCCTTGTGACACCCCTTGAGATGGTTAAGGAACTCGAACGGCGAAGGTTTCTGGTTGCGGGTTTCTGCCGATGTTGCATGGGAGAGAACAGAAAGAAAGACGAGGACGAGGGTGATTGTGAAGAGGCAAAGAGTACTTTTTGATGCCATTGTGAAGAGGAAAATAGTACTTTTAGATGATGCAAAAGCTTGGTATTTGGAGGGGTATTTATTTGTGCCTCAAAGTTTATTTTTATTTTTTTGTAGTCGATGTTAATGTTCCATATGTATAACAAAAATGAGACATTATATTTTTGTGGTGGCATTTTAAACACATCTAATGCGTCTTTCACTTTCTCAATTGGAGAATAGAGATAATTTAGAGCGCACAAATTAGTCTTTTTAGGGTTCTTGGTAAAGTTAAAACATCGTTTTGGGCACATTGCTTACAAATTCATGTGTTTTTTTTCTTTTTGACAAATCCATGCACTTTGAGGGATATGCTCACAGACCCGTCTTTGACGGGAGCACCTGATTTCGCCGGGTCCAAATTTTTTGTTTTTACTTAATAGATACTAGCATTTGCTTACACATTTTTTTAGAAAATGAGAAGGAGAGAGGGAGAGAGAGACCGTGGGGAGGTGGGAGGTTTTTGTTTTCGGTTTTTTTTTTTTTATAATATTGAAGGTATTTTAACATCACATGTAGGTGAGGTTTCAATAAAAAAACAGTAAAATTTGGATCTGTGAAAGTACATTATTGCCCACCATTTTTTTTTGTGATAGAAGACTAAGTTGTATTTTCACCATCTTTTGATTGACAAAGAGATTTTAATTAATTAGTAGAGATATGATATTTAATATTTAATAAATGTAGAAATAATGACAAAGCAATGTTTTTTTTAAAACACTTAAAGCTTTTTCCCCCAAGGTTCCTGTTTCAAATCCCGTGTGTGATATTCTTTTATGAATTGTTTTTAATTCAATTTTTCTATTTTGAAAAAAAAAGGATCATATACATTTAAGCGGGGCCGTGCAATTTAAGAACCTGCTTTGCCGTCTTTATTTTTTTTAATCAAGACAAACTAAAACTACCCCTAACAACAAAAAGAAACGTATTTCAAGTGTAATTATATTCTACATAGCAAGTATGAACCCTAGCCTTCACCATCATTCCTCTGCAATTCATTTTATCTCACTTCCTCTCTGTCTATTTCTTTTTCAAATTTCTAAGTATCTTTATACAGGTGAAGGGGTGAATCAAAATATATCATTAGGTTTAGAAGATTGCAACTCAAGGAAAGCATATAGAAGACTATGAATATAATCTTTTTTTTGTTTTAGTCTAGATGTTCATGATAGATGACATGATAATATATTTAAGAATTCAAAAAAGACAACTTACATGGCCTTAGGCAAGCCATTGTTGAGCGTCCGCACTGAGGGACTCTATATGAGGCTAGAAAAGTGGTGGATATAACCAATTTTTAAGCTCCAATGAATCTTTGGGGCTTTATAAAAGAATCTCTTCTAATGAGGGGCTATATCTTTTGGGCTCTATATGGGGCTATATATATTTATTTATGTAGTAATTTGATTAAGCGATGATTTTTTTTTTGTGTGTTAGTTTTTCTTAAGTTGATTTTTAGACGTGCTATCTTAATTTTTTTTTTATGAACCCTTCAACCTAAAAAGTTCAAATTGTGACAAGGTTAGATTTCATCACTTATCAATCGTTTGTTGGATTAGATTCCCTTATCTCAATCTTATCCGTTGAAAGAAGCAAACCCCCACTTTGCCCTCTGAATAATTTGACTTTCATGTATAACACAACAATTTACCTAGGACCAAGACCCGGGGCGGATCACTTCTTGGGCCCACTCCACCACCGTAGCACGATATTGTCCGCTTTGGGCTTACCATTCCCTCACGGTTTTGTTTTTGGGAACTCACAAACAACTTCCCAATGAGTCACCCATCCTGAGAGTGCTCTAGCCTCATTCTCGCTTAACTTCGAAGTTCCTACGGAACTCGAAGCCAGTGAGCTCCCAAAAGGCCTCATGCTAGGTAGGGATGAGAATATACATTTAAGGATCACTCCCCTAGGCAATGTGGGATGTTACAATCCACTCCCCTTAGGGGCCCGACGTCCTCGTCGGCATACTTCCGGCCAGGAATTGGCTCTGATACCAATTGTCACATCCCCGCCCGGGCGGACCACATCCCAGGCCCGCTCCACCACCGTAGCACGATATTGTCTGCTTTGGACCCTGACCACGCCCTCACGGTTTTGTTTCTGGGAACTCACGAGCAACTTCCCAGTAGGTCACCCATCTTAGGAATGCTCTGGCCCCCTTCTCGCTTAACTTCGGAGTTCCTACGGAACCCGAAGCCAGTGAGCTCCCAAAAGGCCTCGTGCTAGGTAGGGATGGGAATATACAATTAAGGATCACTCCCCCGATGTGGGACATCCCTGCCCGGGCGGACCACATCCCAGGCCCGCTCCACCACCGTAGCACGATATTGTCTGCTTTGGACCCTGACCACACCCTCACGGTTTTGTTTCTGGAAACTCACGAGCAACTTCCCAGTAGGTCACCCATCTTGGGAGTGCTCTGGCCCCCTTCTCGCTTAACTTCGGAGTTCCTACGGAACCCGAAGCCAGTGAGCTCCCAAAATGCCTCATGCTAGGTAGGGATGGGAATATACAATTAAGGATCACTCTCCTGGGCGATGTGGGATGTTACAATCCACCCCCCTTAGGGGCCCGACGTCCTCATCGGCACACTTTCTGGCCAGGAATTGGCTCTGATACCAATTGTCACATCCCGACCCGGGGCGGATCACTTCCCAGGCCTGCTCCACCACCGTAGCACGATATTGTCTGCCTTGGGCTTACCATTCCCTCACGATTTTGTTTTTGGAAACTCACGAGCAACTTCCCAGTGGGTCACCCATCCTGGGAGTGCTCTAGCCTCATTCTCGCTTAACTTCGGAGTTCCTACGGAACTCGAAGTCAGTGAGCTCCCAAAAAGCCTCATGCTAGGTAGGGATGAGAATATACATTTAAGGATCTCTCCCCTGGGCAATGTGGGATGCTACAATTTCACTCATCAATGCCCATGAACGTTAAATCAATTTGAAATTTTAATTCTTATGGAATTTAAAACAATCATTAATTAGCCAAATTGCAAGAAAAAAAATTAAAAATAATAAAAGGAGAATATAAGTGTATTCGCAAGTGGAGAAAGAGTGATAGAATTTTGCTCACATGGATTGCTACTTTTTTGTGGGCCCTTCAATCTTCAATGCATAACAATCACAGAATTTGTCTTTTGTGAATGCTTGAATATCATATCATCACTTATGAACATATAAACTGGAACAAAATAATAATAATAATAATAATAACACCCAACAAAATATATCCACAACCATAAAATATAAATTCATAGTTTACCAAATAAAAAAAGATTAAACTCATAGATTCCATATGCTTACATTATTTGCAATCCTCTAAACCTAGTTATATATTTTGATTCGCCCCCTTCAATTGTATAGAGAGGCTTAGGATTTGAAAAAGAAAGAGATGAAGAGGAAGAAAGAATAAAAGAATTGCAGAGGAATGATGGTGAAGGCTAGGGTTCATGCTTGCTATGTAAAAAAAAACAAGCCAAAGACAATTACACGTAAAATATATTCCTTTTTGTTGTTAGGGGTTAGTTTTAGTTTATCTTGATTAAAAAAAATCAGGCCGGCAAAGTAGAGCGCACACGGGTAGGGGTGGAAAAAATTCCTAAAAATCCCGATCCCAATCCGAAATTCCCGAAATTTTTGGGATGCTATCCAGAACCGATCTCGAAATTTTGGTACGGGATTCGGGATTGGCTTCTCGATATTTTGGGAATCCCATACCGAACCAGAAATATATAATATTAATTATTATTATATATATATTTCTACATATATATTATATATATTATTCTTTTATAATTGATGTTAGTAGTTTCTAATTCATGCTCTGCAACCTGGAATGCCCTACACCTTGCATATTTTTCATGTTCTATTTAATATTCATTTGGATTTTATTATTGCTGCTACCATGGTTGATGATTTCAGAAGGCTTGATTCTTTTGTCTCTTAACAGATTGCAAAAATGGTTTAATTAATTTGAATTTTGACTTTGATAAAAACAGTCAAGCATGCCAGTGTTCGATTAAATGGTAGTGTGAATGAAATGACATTCCTAGTTCATGAATGTGTTCTTGAATTATATATTTGAAGAACAATTCATAATTTCATATTTCAATTTGGGATTCCCAATTTGTCTCGAAATCCCAAAAATATTTCTGGATTCCCGAAATTTGGGATTCCCGAAAATTTGGTTTGGGAATGGTCTTCAAATTCCCGTCCCGAAAATTTTCGATTTGGAATTCGGGATACTAGTTTCAGTATGGTATCCAATACCGAACCACCCCTACACAGGAGTCGTATGGACCATTTTTCAAAATAGAAAAATCAAATTAAAAACAATACATAAAAACAGAGCGATTCGCAAGTGATTTCTAGGATGTTACGTACCCATTTTTTTTTAATGGTATTTCATTGTGTCTCCACTATACAACATTTGAAACATACTAAGGTTAGAAAACCTTAATTTTGACGCATATGTGGAATTTTTGGGTTAGGTCTTTGTTTCTAGTTAACTTTAATTTATTATTCCGACAGTTTCTCTCTTTGACTGGCTGGTTTTATACGTATATTCTGGAGTCTGCACCAAGAATTAGTCTACTAATTTTGTTCCCGATTTATTTATTTATTTCTTCTTCTGGACCATCATCTCGAACCTTGCAAGACTTAGCCATGCATAGTCAAGGTCATGATCATATTACTATTGAAGACCCAGCTCAATCTCAATTTGTGCAATAATTTATCTCGCTATTAGACCTATAAATAGGCCTCCAAATACAAAGCTTTTGCAATATATCCACAATCTGCTTAATCATAAGTGCTTAAGTAGTTTACAATGGCTTCAAAATGTACTCTTTCTCTGTTCACAATCACTTTTCTCTTTGTCCTCCTTTCTCTCTTCTCCCATGCAACGTCGTCAGAAACCCACAACAAAAACACGTCGCCATTCGAGTTTCTCAACCATCTTAAGGGGTGTCACAAGGGCGACAAGGTCCAAGGCATCCAAGACCTAAAGAAGTACCTTGAAAAATTTGGATACTTAAACGGCCATTCCGATAATGATGATTTCGACGACATCTTGGAGTCAGCGATCAAAACTTACCAGCTCAACTACCACCTCAAAGCCACCGGAACATTAGATGACAAAACCGTATCAAAAATGATGATGCCGCGATGCGGTGTGCCAGACATCATCAATGGCACCACCTCCATGCGATCGGGAAAGAAAAGACACCCTCACCACCACAGCGGACATGGTTCGCCTCACACGGTTGCTCATTATTCTTTCTTCCCCGGAAACCCTAAATGGCCTTCTTCTAAGTACCATCTCACCTATGCTTTTGATCAAAGCACCCCAACTGATGCCCGGGACGCAGTTGCGCGCGCTTTTGCAACATGGGCAGGCAACACACACTTCTCGTTCAGTCAATCCCAAACCTATGAGAACGCGGATCTGACAATAAGTTTTGCTAGTGGTGATCATGGAGATGGGAGCCCATTTGAAGGCCGAGGCGGGACCCTTGCTCATGCATTTGCACCGACCAATGGGAGATTCCACTACGATGCCGATGAGCCGTGGGCTGTGGGAGCTGTGGAGGGTGCTTATGACTTGGAGACTGTGGCATTGCATGAAATCGGACATCTGTTGGGGCTACGACATAGCTCTGTTGAAGGAGCTGTGATGTCCTCCACCGTTCGTACTGGATTTGCTCAAAGTTTGCATGCAGATGATATTCAAGGAATTAAAGCTTTATATAATACTTGATCTTCACATGCATATTCACATAATCAAGAGTACTCAAAGATTAATCATTAAATTAAGTAGTATTTATTATTGAAGTTCACCCTGTTTTTTCATCCCTTAATCAAATAAGTTACCTCAACTTGAGTGTATTGAAATTCTGCAATAATTAATTAAAGTTGTAGCAGCATACATATGCTGAAAATATGATTTTTTTTTTGGAGCTTTTGAAGCTTATAGAAATATGGATGTCTGGCCTTCTATATGTTGAACGTGTGTTAACTTGTTTTAGGAACACGCATATATAATGCAACTTTCAATTTGTTTTGTATTTACAGTCAATTTGTTTTGTGTAATTGTGTTTCTGCTAAAATATTTGAAAATTTTATGTATTATATTTGTTGATGCACAAAATCAGCGAAGACTTTGGTACAACAGAAAGTGTCAGGTTTTGTGACCTTCGCTTGGTTGCTTCGGTCACTAGTGAGGATAAGTACGTAAATGAATAGAGACAGAGAAGCAAACACAGGATGTACGTGGTTCACCCAGATTGGCTACGTCCACGGAGTAGAGGAGTTCTTATTAGTAGTGAAGGGCTTACACAAGTACAAAGGATCAAGCTCTCAATTTAGTGAGTTCTTGTGAATGATTTAACACAAATGGCATTAGGCAATATTGTGGGGGAATGACCCCTATTTATAGAAAAACTTGTAGCTTTGTCACATTGACATGTGTCATGTTATGATTGGTTCTTGATGTTGACACGTGCTGCGCTCTGATTGGCTTCTAATCTTGACACGTGTCGAGTAGTGATTGGCCTCCTGGTCGGAGGGGAACTCTTCTGGGTCCTTGACAGTATAGCGTTGGCCGGTGCTCGGTAGTTTCGGGATTGGTCAAGTATGGTACAAACAGTGCTCCCCTAAGTTCCCGAGTGAGGGAAACTCCTCGGTTGGGGACTTGCAAGATCCAATCCCTTGAGTAATCACGAAACTTCTAAGTACCGAAGTGTGGTCTGATCTTCATCTGCCCTTCTCTGGAAGTACCTTTCCTCCATCCGGGAATGGTGTATTTAGCTGATGTTGACGCACAAGGTAATGTATCAATTTCACTTGAAGCTTACTTGTAGTTTCGGGCTTGGTCAAGTGCGATACAAACCCTATAGTAGGAGTCCCCCAAGTCGCCGAGCTAGGAGATCTGCCGAAAGAGGTGACAGACAAGGTAAGCAGTCAAACTTCCAAGTAAGCAACCCAGGATCAGAGGTTTGACGTCGGCTTCCGGTTGATTGTTCTCATTCTCCTTGTCTCTCATTCAACTGCCAGGATAAGGAGAAGCAAATGGATAAGAGATGATATGAGATACTTTTGCTTTTGAAGAAGTAACTTTCCACAGGCTTATTCTTGAACTGTGCTGGAGGGTTTTCTGGTGCCCTTCAGAGTATAAGGCCGACTCAAAAATTTGAGGGTCAAAACAAGTCCATCAAATCTAGAGTACGTTCGACCTTGATGATATGGGATACTTTTGCTGTTGACGGAATAATGAATGTGGTATGGAAAGGTGTCGTGCTGTAGTGATCTGTTTCAGCCCACCGTTGAACCTTCTGCTTCAATCTTTTGCATGGCAGAAGTGGTGTGCAACCTTTGCATTTAAATGGTCCTTCAGAACATTCCTTCATAGTGACTCATTCACGCTTGGCAGCTTCAGTGTAAAGAGCCAATATCTGATCAACTGTCATGAGGTATTTGCCGGTGGAATTCGTGACCTTGACAGCAGTTGAGGATGAGTACTCGAGAGCAATGCTAAGTAAGCGACCAGGCAAAGGCTCCAGGCAGTCAGTTCCAAATTGGAGGTTTGATTTCAGGTTCCGACTGACTGCTCTCTTTCTCCTTGTCCTGCAGGTGTGGACAAGGACAAAGACAAAGACAGGGAGAAAGCATGATATGGGATACTCTTGCTTTCGACCCTGATGATATGAGATACTCTTGTTCTTGGTGTGGCTTATTTGCTGAGGTATTATCGGGGGGAAATAAAGCTGAGTATTTCGAGAGGTTATGTTGAGGGTGCCTTTTCGAATGCGAGAAAGGGTTGAGCATTTTTGCAGGTTTGCCTGTCCGTTGAGGAGGGAGGTCAATGTATATAGGGATTTCCCAATAACAAGTAGTAATGCTATTCCTTTACCCTTCTTGGTCACAGCAATGTAGTGGGAGCTGCCAGCTTCACGTGTTTTAATTTTGTCAGAGCACTTTGAAAAAGTGGTATGTGGTATCTGGAAAGCTGATATTACGTGTGAAGATTACAGACAAGCTTTATCTAAGGAAATCTGGCTCTCGAAGTTCTGAGAGTTGTGCCTCTTCGGTTTTCGAACAAGCAATCCCGTCGAGGATCTGACTCTCGAGATTCGGAAAGCGGTGCTACTCCGGTTTTTGAGAAAGTAATTATGTTGGGAGTCTTTTCTCGAATGTGAGTAAAGGTTGGACGTTCTTGCCAACCTGTCTTGCCGCAAAACACGGAGGTCGACACACATAGGGACTTTCCAGTTGTCAAGTCAAGCAGTGGTGCTGTTCCTTTACCCTTATGGGTAATAGTAGGGTAGCTGGAACTTCGAAATTCTCGTGCCTAAACTTTGTCAGAGATCTTTGACAAAGTTATATGTGGTACCCGAGGAGTTGATGGTGCATATGGAGAGCGGTGATTGAACAGTAAGATTCACGTGCTTTCTACTTCACCAGAAATCTTCGACAGATTGCCCGTAATTTCCGCAAAGCTGAGTGTGCATGTGACAGGTGCTGACGAGGCTGAAAAAGCAGGTGCTTCTTCGATTTCTGAGATCGGCCCTCGTGGTCTCTGAGCAGCCCAACTTTTGAGAAAGCAAACGCCTCTTCGATTTCTGAGATCGGCCCTCGTGGTCTCTGAGCAGCCCAGCTTTTGAGAAAGCAAACGCCTCTTCGATTTCTGAAGCTCCGTCGAGTGCAGATTTTTATAGAGGCTGGCATTAAGTTCCACAGCACACTTGAATCTCTACCAGTAAAAGCTCATTTCTTGCACTTCTAAGATCTTGATTTGTCTGACCTCTTCCTTCTTCAACACATTTGAAAATGTCTGGACCCTCCGACTGTCGTTTTGACTTGAACCTTGGAGAAGAGACAGCCACGCCTTCTCCAGACAACATATGGCGCCCATCCTTCATATCCCCTACTGGTCCTCTTACCGTTGGGGATTCTGTGATGAAGAATGATATGACCGCTGCAGTGGTGGCCAGGAACCTTCTCACTCCCAAAGATAACAGACTACTTTCCAAACGGTCTGATGAGTTGGCTGTTAAGGACTCTCTGGCTCTTAGTGTTCAGTGTGCAGGTTCTGTGTCTAATATGGCCCAACGCCTATTTGCTAGAACCCGCCAAGTTGAATCATTAGGCTGCTGAAGTGATGAGTCTCAAACAGGAGATTAGAGGGCTCAAGCATGAGAATAAGCAGTTGCACACCCGGCTCGCCCATGACTATGCTACAAACATGAAGAGGAAGCTTGACCAGATGAAGGAATCTGATGGTAAGGTTTTACTTGATCATCAGCGGTTTGTGGGTTTGTTCCAAAGGCATTTATTGCCTTCGTCCTCTAGGGTTGTACCTGGTAATGAAGCTTCAAATGATGAACCTCCAATGCCTCCTCTTTCTGGGTTTTTGTCAAGTACTGAGGCTCCGGATAACCACCCTCCGGTGCTTTCTCTTTCTGGGGCTCTACCGACTGCTGAGACTTCCCCTAAGCAACCTTTGTGAAGGCTCCATTTTGTTTGTTTATTTTGACTCATGTATATGTACATATTTGTGGCTTATCGAAAAATATTAATAAATAAGCTTTGCTTCATTTCAACATATTGTGTTAAATACACCAAAGCCTTCTTCATAAAGTTCTTTGAATTTTTGCTTTTGTTGAAACCTGTATTGTTGAAGCTTTGTGAGTGAAGCATGTAGTTTGAGGTAGTGTTCCCTTAATTTCCCGAGTGAGGAAAACTTCTCGGTTGGAGACTTGAAAAATCCAAGTCACTGAGTAGTCACGAACTTTTGAGTACCAAGGCGTAGTAGCATATGGTGGGAGTCCCCCAAGTCTCTAGTCGAGGGAGTTGACGAATGAGGTGTCTTGCTAATAGTCCATGTCGTAAGTACCAAAACTTCATTCTTTTGTTTTCTAAGTGGTAGCCCCGGACTTTTTCTTCATATATTTTGTTTATGAAGGTTGCTAGGCCCGAATAAGTGGAATTGCAGAAGGTGTAACGGTTGGTAGCTGTTTTATGGAAAGCCATCTGACTACGATAGTCTTGCACATGATGACTATAGGGAGATACACACACATACTGCTATGATAGAGGGTGTAACCGTTGGTGCATTACAATCATAATGGAAGCATCACAATGATGGAAGCATCACAATGATGAAAGCATCATAATGATGAAAACACCATAATGATGAAACATCATAATGATGTTTCTTTGGTGGAATTGGTTTTCATTTCCCCTAACAACCTGAATTGGTTTTCAATATAAGACCATCAGCTGTAGCTCGAATCACAAAGTTGTCTTCATGAAAGTTGTTCTTTAATTCCTTAACTACAACATATCCAAATTTGAGAGCCATCAGATCAGTACAACTCTAGAAATTCAGGTACGACGAGTGATTGTTCATCAATGTTCTGTCAATCCGTCAGACCTGTTGTGAGCTTCAAAACTCCATTTTCTCTTGCTTAGATCAACATACTTTCTTCATCGAAGTTGTTGCTTAACTTGTGAACTACAACATATCCAAAATTGAGATCCCTCGGAGCTGTATAACTCAAGAAATTCAGGTATGATGAATGACTGGTTATTATTTTTCTGTCAACCCGTCAGATTTGTTGTGAGCTTCGAAACTCCATTTTCTATTGTTCAGATCAGCATGCTTTCTTCATTGAAGTTGTTCCTCATCGTCTCTTTCATAACATATCAAAAATTCAGAATGAACTAATGGTTAAATATTTCCAGATCTTCGAAACATCACAGCAGCTTCGAAAATCTGCAAGAATCCGACCGTCATGCTTGGAGCTTCAACACTTTAATTTCCGTGGCTCAAACAGAAATGGTTCCTTCTTGAAAGTTG